CTTGACAAAGAGAACTGGGGCTCCCCACGGTGATACACTGGGTCGGATAAATCCTCTGTCCAACAACTCTTGGAGTTGAACTTTCAGTTCCTTAAGCTCCTTTGGGGCCATACGATAAGGAGCCATTGAAACCGGAGTGGAACCTGAATAGATTTCAATCTCAAACTCAACTTCTCTATCCGGAGGTAATCCAGGCAACTCCTCGGGAAAAACATCGGAAAATTCCTTGACAATTCGGATACCTTCAATATCAGACTGAAAACTACTAGTATCTAATATATAAGCAAGAAACGCCTCGCAATCTTTCCTGATCATCTTCTCAGCTATCAAAGCAGATACAACATTTGTCAGAAATCCAAGACATTCCCCGATCATTACAATCTTTCGATTATCCGGGGTCTTCAAAACAGCTCTCTTAGTCTCAAAATCAATATTTACTCGATGTTTGTCCAACCAATCTACGTCGAGAATCAAATCAAACTCTTCTAAAGGTAACTCCATCAGGTCAGCCAGAAAAATATCTCCATTGATCTCAATAGGGCACTCTCTATAAATACATCCAACATAATGGACTTGCCTAAGGGACTTTGAACTATCACCGAATGCTCAGTATTCTCAACAGGAATATTTAGACCCTCAGAAACAGAATACGATACATAGGAATTGGTAGAGCCACTATCAAACAATGCAAAGTATGGAACTGAATGAATAGCAACAGTACCTGCAGTCACATTAGGCCCATCATGATCTTGTCAAAGTCTGGCAGTGTAAACCAATGCAGGTTGTGTGGCCTCAGATCTGATTAGACCCCTACTCTGAGATGCTCGGCCTCTTCTAGCCGATCCAGGTGCTCTCTCCTGAGTACGACCACCCGCAGGAGTCTGAACAGTACTCTGAGTACGAGCGGGAATACGAGCTGGTGTCTGAACTGCAGTAACTGACATTGGACAATCCTTTATCAAATAGTCACCAGAACCACATTTAAAACAGGTGCCAAATTATCTCCTGCATTCCCCAAGATGATGTTTCCCACAATAATCACAAGTCTGCAAAGATTGTAACCCAGAAGATCCACCATGTCTAGAAGGTTGAACAGCTGAAGAACCAGATACAGTAAGTCTGACACTCACACCGCCTCTCTGAAAGGAATCACCCCTGTCTCTCTTGCTAGGATATGCAGAAGAATCAACAGAACCAGAAGGCCTCCTGAATCGGGTTTGAGCTCGATCACTATCTCTCTTGTGCTCCATACCCAGTCGCTCTATTTCCTCAGCAGTCTTGGCTATCTCAACCAAAGCATCAAAATTCCTCTCTTGGTGGGTAGCGACTCGACTCCTAATCTCATACCTGAGTCTATTCTCGAACCTCAAGCATCGATCCGTCTCAGTGTCAACAAGTCCAGGAGCATAACGGCTCAATCGAATGAACTCCACCTCGTAATCCATAACAGACATATTACCCTGCTCCAGATTCTGAAACTCCTGGCGTCGCTCTTGCAGATATCTCTCTCCGATGTAGCGACTCCGAAAGCGCGTCTTGAAAAGATCCCTTGTTAATTGGTTCCTTGGAATACTACCAGAAATGGATTGCCACCTTCTGAAGCTTTCTTTCTTCAACATAGTTAGGGCCCCCTTTAACTTTTGCTCAGGTCTGAGGTCCATCTCATCCATAATCCTCTCTGTGTCCACCAGCTAATACTCAGCGTCTGTCGGAGGTCCACCAGTAATGCCCTCGAATGGAACTACACCATCAGCAACCAGAGAATTTGAAATCTCAACCGCAGTCATATTACTAGGGGCTTTGGCAGCTCTCTGAAACATGCGGAATATAGCTCTATTAATGGCATCTTCATTCATGTCAATATCCTCATCTCCAGTGACGGGAGGATCTCTCACAGGAGTAAACTGGTCATCATGAGAAAGGGTCGGATCTACTTACGGAACAGGAGGATCACGTGGAGACATCAGATCGTCGATCGTAACAGAAGGTCGAGTGACTTGCCCTCAACCACGGCCACGTCCTGTCCTACGACCTCTAGCATCACTCATTGTTGGATCTATAAGGCTCTACAGAAAGAGTTTAAAACATATGTCAGATTAGCATTAGGGATCTCGAGAAAACTTTTAAATCATAAAATAAGGTGACATTTTTTTTTTAAATTTCATAAAAATCCAAAGTTTAGGACCCATATACAGTCCGAGTGTTTAAAACCGAAGGCTCTGATACCACCAATGTAACCCCCCAGACCCGGTCTGTAAGTTAGACCCAAATATAAGTGGTCACATGTCCCATTCAGAGGTTTTTTTTACATCTTACAATACATTAGATTTAATACATAACAAAATGTATTAATAATACATATATATCCAAAACGATAGCAAATACATGTCACCAAATATAACCGAAAAATATATAGAGATATATGTCCGTACAAAATAAGTAGTTGATCTCCCTTATGCCAAATCTGCTAGCTTACGGTCTGCTGTTATCTGAAAAAAGGTAAAATCTATAGAATGAGCGAAAAGCTCAGTGTGTTCCATACAGTGTATATAAAAACATACTGATAAAAATATTCCAGTAAAGTCGGTTTATGCAATCATGTCATTTTTAAAAAAAATATGAACACTACCCCAGCCACTCACATCAGAATGTGTAGGTTCCCTAGAACCATACACCCAGCCCACACATCAAATAAGGCTCTGAGCACAAAGCCAAAGAACCTGCGGATATACTTCCTTCAACAATACCCCTTCAATAATTGTTCATGAATGTATTTGAATGAAAACAATGATTAATTCTTTAAAACATAAAAGTGTTCATGATTAAAAATCATATACAGAAATACAGAAATCAGAAGACAAATCAGTAGTATACAGAATTTCAAATATCGGATAATCAATATTCTGAAAATCAGTATAAAATACTGTAACCAGAGATCATATCAAAAATATGCTGTAAATCAGATATCAGATACATAATGTTCAGATGTATATTTTAAAACAGAAATAATTAACACTGTCGGGAAACACATATGTAACAGTCTGAGAAATCAGATAGAGAAGCTTATTATTACTGGGTTTGTCGATCACGCTCTGCTGCAGCGCTAGATCCTACGAATTGGAAAAATCCATATTGGAATCCTAATATAAATAATCTAAATATTATTTAAATAATATACGGAAACCTACGGGTAATTCTCGTAGTACGCGATTCAGACTGATCTAACGAACAGACAACACCGGACCTAACTGATCCTTGCTCAGATGAAATACCAGTACCTTCATACAATATTTTATTGAATCAATTCCTTAACCAAAACTCAATTAAATAATCAAAATATTAAAATACTAAGCATTTTTGGGTTCACATGCTTGATTTGAGAATTTCGGGTCAGAATTTGGCAAAACGGACTTCGGAATCAGATTTAGGACGTCGAAAAACATAAAGTATAACCATTCGAAATTCTGAATTCTTGGTCAAAATCAAAGTCAACAGGTTTGACTGACGATTTGGAGACTTTCGGGTTCGAATTTAGCAAAACGGACCCCAAAAACGAATTCGGGACGATGAAAATTGTCAGGATAGGTATTCTCGGAAAAGATTAACGACTGTTTAATAGCCGGTCAAAGTCGGTCAAAGTTTTGGTCAAAGGTGGTCAACAAACTGTCAACCATTTTACAGAAATAACACCTTTGTTTTTAATAAATACCATAATAGCACCTTTTTCAAATTAAATTCTCAAAATAGCACTTTTCGAATTAAATTCTCAAAATAACACCTTTTTCGAATTAATTCCCAAAATAACACCCATTTCAAATTAATTCCTTAAATAGCACTTATTTTGAATTAATTCCCAAAATGTCTCCCGATCAACGGTCAACGGTCGGATCGGGTCAACGGGTCGGGTCAAAACCGATCAACCCTTTGAAAAACTGGTCAAACCGGTTATTTTAGCCTTCCCCACGTGTAGTGGCGGCGCGTGCGGCGTCTATAAGCGTCGGAACAATTACAGAAAAATTCTTAAAAATTATTTTAAGCGATTTCGAGATACTTACAAAGCTCGGTTCAAATTTTTGAACGGCAGAGAGCTCGTTTTCAACAAATCGGAAAGTTTGACTGCTTCACCTCCCCACGCGCCGCCGTCGACGGAGACCGAGGATGACACCGGCGGACTCGGAACGGCACAAGGAACACGATGGTGCGGGAGGTGTCGTAAACGGAGCATTGATCGGCGATGAATTTAAAATTTTCTCGGCGATTGAGCTAAAAAAAACGTCGAGGCTTTGACTTGAAATTCACGGCGTTTAACAACGTTTCACCTCAATTAATTTAAGGGAATTGTTCCTCACTCGATAACGAACACGATGGTTTCAAAACGACGATCAGAATTCAGACGACGTCAAGATCATTATCGGAAGTCGAGATTGGGAGAAGATTTTGGGAGCAATTGATTTCTGATTGAAACCAATTGCACGTATATAACAACAATCTGACCAATTTTTCTTGGGTAAATTTCAGGGCTATCTCTAAATTTTTTTAACTCTAAAACAAGTTACAAGTTTTAAAAACTTCTAATTTAGTCTCCAAAATTTACCAATTTTCACAATTAAAACCTCAAATTTCAATTAAATATTATTTTAAAATATTCGGTTTGTTACAGTATCCAACTATTATATTCCAACACATCCAAATACATGAAAAATAAAATAAAATAAAATAAATTATAGACATCAGAATCTAACATTCAAGTCTTTCTTTTTTTACCGTCTCACGGGGGACAAATGCACATAGTATGACAATATATGTTACAATTAGATTAGAAAAGAGCTGTAAAATAATATCAAGTTATCTTTGGGCCAAGGAAATCAAGTGTCTTCTCTAAAGCTGACTCCACGCCAATTATAAGAACTGAAAGAGCTGGCATCCCTTAATCCTCTAAAGGCTGTTAAAATTTCAATACTCAAAAGCTCCTTTCTTTCGCTTGTAAATGAAAGCATGCATTTACCTCTCTGGATTATACGTTTTCGGTACGCTTCGGTAAATATCACAGATAATACAAGTTGGACTTCTTGTTCAAATTTGTTCAATGGCGCTTGTCACATGTCAATATCCTGTAACTTGCATGAGGACCTTCAGATGTATCGCGTAGAGTCGGATGCCAACCCATGGCTTTTGCAATCTCTACAAGTTCACCCATAACATCGAGAGAATCACGAATGTATACTCGTCCACCAGGTCTCAACATCCGGTCCATTTCAAGCATGATTGTAGACATATTGCATCTGATATAAAAGTATACATCAATAAATAATAAATAAACTGAACAACATATAATGAACTCCCATGTCAGGCAGTGGCAATGCTCCACCTATCAAATACCACCATCCTTTGTTACTATAAAACAAGCAATTTTTTGAGCTTAAAATTTTATCTAAAAAATGCATTATACCGTTGAAGGTGCTCACTGAAATCTTCTGTGTTTCGAGCAAATATGGATGTCGTGATATGACCAGAGCTTCAATAATCATATAGCAGAGAAATATTAGACTGAGTTGGCGTGCATACCTTTTCCTCTCAATTGAGAAAAGGCCTGCTGCATGCAAAAGATCATACGTCCTTGGGTATGTATCAAATGGTTCGCACCTAGTAAATGGGGCACAATTTAGCTAATAACCCAGTCAAAGCAATAGTAGCAACATTTTGAAGCAAGGAAATGATTAAACCAAAGTGATCCTATGGAGGGGGTAAAAGCTAGAATGAAAGGTTATATTTAAGGTGTATACAACTAAAGTGCATCCATTATTAATGCAATCGACTACGAAGAGCTTGCAGATAGGAATTAAGAAAAAGAAGTACCAGTCATGCATGACACCTATTAATCCACGATCATAAATTACAGGTAAGGTATTAGGCCCACTAACAGGGACCACATTTAGAACCCAAGCATCAAGTCGATTCTCAATTATAGCGGCTGCAAATCTGCAGAAAAGAATACATCAACCATAGATTTGAGAGATGCTGAAACAATTATAATAACGTAGAACAGTGCAAGACTAGGTTAAAAGAACACCCTCCAAAGCCAGCTCTCATGTCCAATACATTTCTTAGTTGAAATTTCTTCCAATGTAGAACACGGACATAACTCGCCACTATTTCATTCCAGTATTTTGATTCTGCCATGAAGAGCTCTTTTCTGGCTATGGACGAATCAATTTGTATGCTCTGCAGCCTGTCAGGTGGGATTTGCAGACGAGCAGGCCAAGGAGCAACATTTGCACCATATTCATTCTCAGGAAGTTGACTAATGCAGGCCTTCAGATCAACATACCTGAGAGATTAAGCAAATATCATGTAACCACGTAACTTGAAACTAATTGCATCAACCAAAATGAAAAAGTTATAGGTTTCGGAATAGGTTTAAAATTACTCCATTAAGACTGGTGAAGTTATAGCATTATACAAATGAACTTGACAATACTCAACTTATGAAATCCATCACAAATAAAATCAGAATTCTTAAGCATCCTATAATGCTTAGTTTTCCAACTAAAAGGCAGAGAGGTGAACATACCAAACATTATCTGGGTCATCATCTTGATCACATAAAGGAGGACTAGTCCTGGCTTCTCGGCTTAAATAACAGCTGTTATTCAAGGGCTTCTGCCATATTGCAATATATCCTTCCTTCTTTACAAGATCCCAGCAGAGGTGAGTAGTAAGACTAAGCATCTCTGAAAATAGAGAAAATCGGGAAATAATCATGTAATTCCGTTCAAGCTGCTATAAAACACATTTGATCAAAAGAACACAAGCCAAAAAGGGAAAAAACCGCTCAACCAGGATAAAAGAAAATGTTCATTTGCTATAAATTTGAAGTTTCTAGTGACGAATATAGTTATGACATTTCTGTGCATGCATAATATGAATTCTATTTCTAGATCCAGATTTTATACCTTCCCATTGTTCCTCAAAGGCCTCTTCATGCTTGTAAACTGGCTGGGCGGCCCAAGCAAAATATCCACCAGCCCTGAGCATTCTATTGACCTCGAGAAGCAAAATTCCATCTGCATTACAAAGAATAGGAATGGAAGGATGCATTAGAACAAATCCCGGAATTTGACATGAAAATAATATTCTAGAGACATCTCAGAAAACATGAGAACATTACCGATAAAAAAGATGGGACAAAAGTGGTTTTTTAAAGTAATGGTAGAAGGCAAACTTGTTGGAAAAGCAAAGGAAACCGGTATTGTTGAAGAAATTTCTCATTGGTAAAGTAAAAAAGTGATAAAAAAGAATGAGCGCTTGGGATTGCTAAATCCTGAAGTTCATGAGATGATTCAAATGTAACCCAAAATTATTAACATTTTCCTGAATTTTCTTTGCTAACAGAAAATGACGAGATAGGATAGAACAAAATGTTAACCATCACGAGTCCAATTGATGCGACATCGAGAGCAATGTATCAAATCAAAAGCTTGACTTGGGTACAATAAACGGCGAGTTGCAAATGCAGCCACCAGTGCAGGCGCTCCACGCTCAAGTGCCAATTGAACCTGGTTTTCATGGACATCTTTGGGAGATATTGACATGGTTATAACATTCCGAGACATCAAATAGGCACCAAAACTTGCCACACCACATGCAACATCCAGAACAACCCGAATGTTATGACCAAATGTAATATCAGGAACCATCTGAATATACAGATTAAAATTTAACCATCAGAAACAAAATCCAGGGACCAAATTTCTTGTAGTTTTTTATGCATTTAAAATTTTAGTAATAACCTTAGAAATCTGATTCAGATTTTGATCTGCCCCATGTATGAACTGTGTGCCACCTCCAGGAAACTTGAGTTTATCCTTCCCTTTTTTGGATATCCAACTTTGACCACCATTATCATCCACTAGACGTGTATGAGGAACATTTTTGAGCCATACCTATACATTGAACCAGTACATCAATATTGAACTAGATACGCTACAAATTAAAGAAAGAATCAATAAACCAATCAAACAGTAACAAAAATACTTGCAAAAGCACAAAAAAAGAAAGAGGGTAAAAAGCCAAAAAGAAAACATCTTTTCTTCCAATTGCCTCGGTAACACATGGTGAAAAAAGAAAGCAAAATCACCAAAATATTACACCTAAACTTACAACTCTCTCTATTCTATGCTTCAGCAGCTGACTTAAATCCACTCAACAATGCTGTAATCTCAGTCATCACCAAAAAGGAAAAAAAAGAGGAAAACTCTTTAACCTAGGGTACATTTCTTGATCTCTATTGGTACTTTAAGGCATGTTGGATTACAGTAATCCCCCCTATAAACACAAACTCCCTTCATCCAACCAAAATTAAACACTCTAATTTGTCCTTCCTAAGCACTTTAAAATTGTGAACTTGTGAAGGAAACTCACTCAGCTCAGCACGATACTCTGCATTCCATTAAATTAGTCCTTTCCAAAGAGCCAAAACCAGAAGGAGCTAAGAAATAAATCACACATTATTGATTCTAGCTAAACAACCCAATAATATACACACTTCAAAATTAAACATAACAATGTACCTCATCGCGGCTCCTAGGCCAGGGGATCGGAGGATGATATCCTTTAGGAGTCGGAATCAAACAATTCAATCCTTTCACTTTCTCCGGGCAATGTCGTTCAAATCTCTCCCCTCTCTCCGTCGATTTAAGCCTCTTAATGGCTTCCACGTTATCCAAACACGGTATATAGTCTTTCATATTCTCTCCACAAAACCCAAATTTCTTAACCGTAAACGTAGACTTAACACCCTCTTTTCCCGTTTTCACTTCAATCTCCGTTCCGTTCCACCAATTCTCCACCAAGTTCAGATCGAGCTCCCCAATCTCAAACTTATCCGACATCATACCGTTCTCGTCTACAATACCGAAAGTCTCGAACTCCGGCGGAGGAGGAGGAGGCCGAACTTTTTTAACTGGAGGTGGTCCGGGAGTGTTAATGAGAGCGGAGATGTTGAATTCTTTATTGAGGTTACGAGAAAGAGAGACGGAAGGTGAAGATGATGTCGCTTCAGAAGGGGATTGACGGGGGAAGAAGATGAGTTGACGGGAACCATCGGACCAGTGCCTTCCTAAGTAGAAGAAAAACAAGGAGATGAAAATAAAGGCCGCAAATTTGATCGACGTTTGGCTTTTGAGCGAATCGACATAGCCGAGAAGTTTCATGGTTGATGAACGCCTCAAAACGACTTTCTTTGAAAATCTTTGGAAACCTGCAAATTTGCTTGATTTGTGTTTTGCTTACAACCTAGCCTCACTCCTCGCTTGTCGGTGGACAAAAGAGCCATAGTTGTACCAAAAGTTATAATTTTACAAATTCGGCTCAATTAAAAAATGTTTTAAATTCAAACTTATAAAATATAACTCGAAAAATTTAAATAATAATTCAAAATTTTTTAATAATTAATAGATTAATTTTTAAAGTTTGAGTTGAGTCTCTCGACTCTGTATCATAAATATATATCACATATGAAAAAATATAAAAAATACACATGTATTGTATATAGTTATAAAAAATTATTTAAATTTGAATCAAATATGATAATGTTATAAATATTTATAATTAAATTTAAACACAAACTCGAAAATTAGAATAGACTCGACTAGAATTTTATAAACTCGACTCAAAAAATTTCAAGTCAATTTAGAGTTGTAAAATATTACTCGTTAACTCGAATAACTTGAAATATCTTTACTTGACTTGACTAAAAAAATTAAGTCAACTTCAAATTATAAAATAAAATTCATCAACTCAAATAACTCGAATTCTTTCTTACTCCACTCCACTCCACTCCACTCGATTAAACACTAACCCTTGCCGGAAGTTTTCAATTTTTGTTACTCTAATTCAGTTGTACTATTAAATATTTTTCTGTGATAAACCCTTATGTTTCAATTTTTACTTCAAATAGATCATTCTGGATAGTCAACAAAAATCAATTAATGGTTAAATTTTTTTCAGTTAATTATTGATATCTGATTCATTTACCGACTAGTCCAAATTAGGTACTATAGATATGAAAGTGATTCTCGCAACTCAGTTTACTTTATTAGCAAACACAAATGTTTAAATATCTAACCTTACTTAGGGGTTCTAGTACTTCATCCCTCTAAACCTAGAGGTCGATCGAGTCAACTCTAATCGAGTAAAAAAATCGAGTTATTTGAGTTGATGAATCTTATTTTATAACTCGAAGTAGACTTGAAATTTTTTCGAATCGAGTCGAATTTTCGAATTCTATTTAAATTTAATCGTAAACATTTATAATATTATGATATCATTTGATTTGAATTTAAATGACTTTTTTATAACCATATAAAATACATAAGTATTTTTTCATATTTTTTTCATATGAGATATACATATATTAGGTAAATTCTAGATACTCAACTCAAACTTAAAAATCAATCCACTAATTACCAAAAATTTTGAGTTACTTGAGTTTTATTTTAGAACTCGGTTTGAATTTTAAAAAAATCGAGTGGAGTTGAATTTTATTAATTCGAGCTAAAAAAATCAATTTTTCGAGTATAATTAAGTTTTACTTACCCCTAACTAGACCAACTAATGGTTGGTGTTAACGTTTAAAATTTTGATTGATGTATTATGATAACATTAAAGATATAGTAATTGAAAAACAAGTAAACGGTAATTGCATTTTTGCTATTACGCGCTTCTTTCACTCTTTATTTATAATTTTATTCATTCTTTAAAAAAATAATAAAAAAAATGCCATTAAATAATCGAACATGTGATTAGTACGCATATATACAAATTATTTATCACTCTATTTATGATTATTCATTGAATATTTTTATAAATATATTTTCGTATAAATTTGTTTTCATCTGCATTATGTATCACAGAATCTAGTAGTTAGTTTTAAATTAGTGTGTAGCACATTACATGCTAATCAATTATAACTTCAATAACATAGTGAGATTTAAAAATAGTTTCTTGTGAAGATAAATAAGATTGAAAAAATATTGAATTACAATACATGGTTTTTCTAGTTTATATACTTTTCATAGTATAATTTATATAAAAGAAAAATACTATAAAACGTGTTCATGCAATAGAAAAAAACCAAAATATTAGGAAAATAAACTTTAAAGTAAGGCTTATCTCTTTCTTCATCTTTGGTTGATAGACTAATAAAAAAATCTTTGGTTGATAGGTGGTGGCGTTAATCTTGGTGCAGTTCACCGTTGTTGATATTTCTTTTTCTTTTCTTTTTTTTATTTTCTTATATCACATCTCTTTTCTTTGTTTTTTAATGTTTTGTAACTCTACCTTTACGACATGTTTTGCTTTATTGTTTGTCGCATTTCTGTTCGTTTGGTTGTTGTTGTTGTGCAAAGAACAATCCAAAACGAAAATTGAACTTGAGACAATAAATAGAAGGAATTAAACTTCTTTAAAATAATTATAAAGAAAAATATACTCTTTTTATTTTGATCTCTTGATCTGAAATAGTTGAGGTTTGTTGCTACAAAGTTTCCTCAAAGACATATTTCCGACCACTCCTTGGGTGCTCGAGATCTTTTGGTCGCTTGTCTCTCAGGATACAACATAACTCGATGATCAACGAACAATAGCACAAACTTTCGAGATCAATAACTATTTCTTGCCTTTACCTATCACCGAAAAACTAGAGAATGAGAGAATATTTTTTCAAGAAAAGTAGTTCTTAAATTCTGATATATAAAAACCCTAGCCGATTAGTTCAGTATTTATAGTACATTTTCAAGAGAGATTTACTTCAAACAAATATCTTTTAATATCCAATTTAAGCATATAATAATTTCTTTTAATTTGAAATATTCAAAAAGATATACACATCTTTTACTATCCAAACTTAAATAGATATTATTTTAATTTAAAATATTTAAAAGAATATAATTATCTTTTAGTATTCAAAGTTAAATAAATAATGTATACATTTTAATTTAACATATTCAAAAGAATAATTATCTTACTAATATTCAAATTAAAGAATATCTTTTAATTTAAAATAAAACTCTATATTTCTCTTTAAACCCTTGAAGAATTTTTTCAAACTTTGAAAATAATTTATAACAAAAATTTTAAGTGTTTTAAACTTTAAACAAGTAAAAATGAATTTTTTGGTCTCGTAGTGTTGATACTTTTCATGTGATATCAATGCTAAATTCTTTGAAAGTTATTGAATAGTATCGATATTTCTCCCATAATATCGATACTCATTTTAAAAAATTGAACTTTATTGTTAAAATCGGTACTGATACTCCATTTATTATCGATACTACTTATAACAGTAATATCAATACTCTCAATTTAATATCGATACTCTTCTAGTGTTTCAAAAACAGTGAGTTATTTTGATACTAATATTGTTCTTAGTACCAATATGATCCACAATAGCAGTATCGATGCTACTTATGAAGTATTTATATTCCCAACTTGAAACAATTATATTATTGTAATTAATACACGTAGTACCTACACTCATCCTTATAATATCGATATCATAAGCGTCTGGACAATATTTATTGTGAAAATATTTATGTGCAACAATTATATTGACTATGATGACTACCCAAACAGCTAGAATTGATTGAATGTGTATAAATGCAAGCTTTTAAGGCATATATGAAGACAATATATCATAAATAAAGTGCATTTAATTTGAGCCAAAAGGAAGTCATTTGTATTTGTATTCCATTTTGCTTTCAAAGAACACTTGTTGTACTCATTTGTACTTCAAGTGTTCTATTTGTTTTTAAATTGTGCAAACATATTCCTTGTAAAGTTTTTTTATTGTAATTTTTTTCTTTGAAAGTCTTAACACTTTGGGGTGAGCTTGTAAGGTTACATCTTATCCTCAAGTGTGAATACAAATTAGTGAATTTTATAGAAATTCTTAGTATGGATAGCTACAATTGAGTGTAAATCTTATTGAGAAAATTGAACCACTATAAATTCTTTTGTAAATAATTTTAATTTTCTAAGGCTTCCACAAAAGAAATTTATTAGTCAACTCACCCTCTCTTGATTATTTTATTCGTGTAGACACGTCTTTTCGTCCGAAGATTTTTGCTATTATCTTATAATTTTATTTTGATTATATTATTTTATTTTATGTTATTTGATGATAATTATATAGTAATATAGTAGTTTAGAAAGATAATAAAATATAGTATGGTGTCAGTTTTGATTTTTTTTTAAATATATATATATATATATATATTATTAAGTGTAGTATTATTCATTTGTCACATATTATTTGATTGTAGGCCCAATTGAATTGTAGCCAAATTCAAGGTGGAACTGGGCGATCCATCCAGATAGCAGTCCAGAAGATTAGGACCAAAGAAGAACCTGTAACCCGTTAGGGTTTATGGAAGTGTTACCAGGCGCCACCTAAGGAACAACCATTGAATCATAATGGTGATCTGATGTTCCAGCTATGCACACATGAGACACACGCTTGAAAAAACTGCCTCGGTGTACCTGCAATATTAAGACTTTGGGGTGAGTTTGTAAGGTTACATCTTATCTTCAAGTGTGAATACAAATTAGTGAATTTTATAGAAATTCTTAGTATGGATAGCTACAATTGAGTGTAAATCTTATTGAGAAAATTGAACCACTATAAATTCTTTTGTAAATAATTTTAATTTTCTAAGGCTTCCACAAAAGAAATTTATTAGTCAACTCACCCTCTCTTGATTATTTTATTCGTGTAGACACGTCTTTTCGTCCGAAGATTTTTGCTATTATCTTATAATTTTATTTTGATTATATTATTTTATTTTATGTTATTTGATGATAATTATATAGTAATATAGTAGTTTAGAAAGATAATAAAATATAGTATGGTGTCAGTTTTGAATTTTTTTTAAAAATATATATATATATATATATGATTAAGTGTAGTATTATTCATTTGTCACATATTATTTGATTGTAGGCCCAATTGAATTGTAGCCAAATTCAAGGTGGAACTGGGCGATCCATCCAGATAGCAGTCCAGAAGATTATGACCAAAGAAGAACCTGTAACCCGTTAGGGTTTATGGAAGTGTTACCAGGCGCCACCTAAGGAACAACCATTGAATCATAATGGTGATCTGATGTTCCAGCTATGCACACATGAGACACACGCTTGAAAAAACTGCCTCGGTGTACCTGCAATATTAACCAATATGGGA